AAAAAACAGCGCTGTTCTATCATACTAGATACATTTGAAAGTTCTGTTATTATGCTACTCTGTGCGGTCGTCACCGGTCTATTAAAACGCACAACATATTAAAGCTTCTTTAGAAATCGAGGGGTTATGACACAATGACACTATGGACATGGTCCGTATCACTAGTTAAAATTGCTTATTTCTCTTTAAACATTCTTCAAAACATTTGGGATAATGTAAGTACACAAGTCAGCAAAATATATAACTCTGTTCTAGTGGTTTTTGGATATTAATAAAAAAATCGTACATATTGTGCCTTTAATGTATGTGTCTCAGAATTGCAGCTGCGGAAAGGAGGCACCACAAAGACTGGGAAGAAGATTGGGGTTCCAAAGAAAAATCCAAATCTCCTTCCCCCTCCCCACTTCCCTCACCCCCACCACCTGCACGTAATGCACCTTCACCTAAACCCAAAACCTCCAGTAAGTTGACAATACCAACAAAACCTCTCCAGTGCATGAACTTTGATTGCACTCAGTAGAACTTCACTATTCTCTAAAGATCAAACAACTGTTATTCTTTCCAAAAAAGGTAACCATAAAACATGTTGCATTGATGTTACTCCTTTCTCCTTTGCATGTACAGATGTGCATTTATGTTGGGAATGCATCATCTCTTTGTGTGATCTTTGTCTTTCTATCTTATCTTTTCCATTTTTGTTGTGCCGTGTCTATCAATTCCTGTTACCATCAGCTGCTGAGTCCTATGAAGAAGATACCGGAGAAGTAAGTGATGAATTCAGATGGATTTACAGACAAAGATTCTCTTTAACAAACTTTTGAGACACTTCAACTGCATGTAGACTATATTTTGTTTGGCTGGATCTTTTGGTAGCTTTTATATGGATGAATCTGCAGAATACACCATATCATGGTTGAGTCTTTGCATGGGACTTAATGTATCATTCTTGCTGTCTTAGCGTTCGGTTGGTTCTACCGTTACGAAGGAAAGTTGCCTACACTCAAAAAGGTACATTGTGTGCTGCAAGCATGTTGTGCTGATTTGGTGTGCTATAACTATGGAATATGTTGTTCATCTTGGAGATATGCATGAAGTTATGATTTGCATGGTAGTTGGGTTGACCTTGGTGAAAAGTCCATCAGGTGTTCTCAAATCACTTTGGATATTTAGAAAGGAAAAGAGACCAAAAAGAAGAAGAAGATATCGAAGACTGACACTCTCCCAGCTGAGAAAAAGAACAAGAAAGAGATGGAGTTTGAGCTGAAACTTGCAAAGGAGAAGGAAGAGATACTTGAGCGAGAGAAGCAGATGAAAATCAGCAGACTTCTGCAAGAGGTATCAGACTTCTTCCAGTGAAGTTACAGTAGGGTTTTCTGACTCAGATTGTACTCCTTGTTTAATTGTGTGTAATTGATTCACTCTCCTTTGCACTTTACCTTTATTGGTCAAATGTCCCCATTTGAACAGTTGTACCCTTTCCAATGCCATTTCAACAAGTTCTTATTGGTATATGAAAGAGTTCATGTTTGGGTATGACTTTACTAATTCCACTAGGTGTCAGAAACCGAGAGGGAAGATCTGGAAGAGTCAGAGAAGGTGCAGCATTGGGTGGAGAGGCTCTGTCAAACCAGACTAGAGCAAATCTCCTCAGTTGAAAATGATTCTCCAGAGGTAAAATCCAATGAAGTATCCTGATGTGTGTTGGTCCTCTAGTCCATAGTTTGTTAATTCAGAGTTCTAAGCATTCAAAATGTACCTCCAGATGTCTCCAACTCGTTCTCCAGTGTCAACTGGTCCCACCAATCGGAGGTTTCCTGGAGGCTTGACCTTGGCCACTACTGACCTTGATGACATCAACTTAGATGATGTGGACCAGAGTCTAAGGCAGCCTTTGAAAAGACCTCCACCTACATCCAACCAAGCTCCCACTCCCTTACCACTCCCTCCACCCTCACCCCGACTTTACCACTCATCCAACCATCGACCTCCATCTCCAAGAACGCAGCTCCCAATGCAACCCAGTCCCAGACCAGCCCCTCACCACCCACCTTCTCCACTAGCCACAAGGGTACCCCCTTCCTCAACAGGTCGTAGCCGGCAACCCCCAGCCACCCCACTATTCTCCTCCAGGGGTCTGTCCTCATCTCAGCCACCTCCCCCGCCACCACCTCCTCCCCCTCCACCACCACCTCCACCACCTCCTCCACCCCTGCACATGGAGGACAAGTACCATGTGGGGCCGTCCAACTATCCTCGCTCCCCAAGCTTATCCGAACAGGGAAGCAGGTTTGGGGACAATGGTTACCGACAGAGAGGGGGCTTCCACTCCATTTCCAGTCATCTTTCACGCCCACCCAGCCTGAAGGCTGACCACAGCTTGACGGTTAGCATAGTTAACACATTTGGGAGTGTGAGAGTTAATTATGTATGTCGTATAGTGGTGGGAATCTTTAGGCACATTATAATTCATTATAATTCAATCCAATTCGATTCCAAAATTGATTTCATGACACAAGAATATTGCTCTTCACTGAAGTAAACACTGCAATCTACCTGTTTTTTTATCCACCTCTTATGTTGTACATACATGCATGCATTTCTTGAGTTTGGTGTTTTGCAGATGAGATTAACCATTATTAATTTCTTAAAGATATTTGTCAGGAAGCAGATCATCATTTTGGGAGAAAAGCATGCTGTCATTCGCTTTGATGATCTTGCAGTGCTAGTGATTCCTATCATTGTTAGACTGTTGAAAAAATGTATCCTTGTGGTCCAGGTGATGAGAAACACATCACATGCTAGCAGGACGTCCACCTCTAATAATCCACTGGTGAGTCCTCAGTTTGTAAAAGATACACGCTACTCTGGGTCTTCCACTACATTTTTAGCACAAATCAGACTTACCACGCTTGTGTAACATATGTAATGTTATCTTAATGCAAACTGGCATCTCTTCGCAGAGGAAATATCTTTCAACAGCTCTCCATGCCTATATCAGGAGATTACTCTGAAACCCCACAGGAAGTGCATTTCTAAATGGATATAGTTGGCACATATCTTATACACTCTCAAAAAAAAGAGAATAGGGTACCAAACTGTCACTGGGGCGGTACCATTTCATAAGGTACTAATATACCATTTAGGGGTAAATAAGGAACAAAAATTTACCTTTTTACCTGTTATCCAAGATATAAGGGGGGAATTTTATAAAACCGTAACTCTTTGAACTGTTTTATAGATATGCGTACTTCCTTTATCCATAGGATTTATTTGGGAAGTAATGACATTTAAAAAGCCATTTCACAAAAAGTCATCAATACTAGAAATGCACTGTCTGACATTTTGCATGAAAAACGTCGTTTGCTGAACATGAAAGCTCCAATTCAGTATTTGTGCTATATGAAAGGTTCCTAAAGTCTTTTGTGCTTTGTGGTTTAGATTGCGTAACTCTCGAAGGTATATCATGCCCTGACCTTAAGTTTGTGTCCCTTACTGCTAACCTCTACATAGCGAATTGCCCCCAGCCCTCCAAACCAGCGGAGACAGATCAACCCTGTCATGTCCAAACCTGTCATGCTACCGAGTCAGACCTCACAAAGACCCACACTTCGCTCTGAGACCATGGTAAGATGGCAAGTACCTGTGTGTATACGTGCGATGATTAGGCATATATAAGCTACTGGATCTTTACGACTTTGACTCATTGGTTTAATTGTTGTGCCAATAGCTGTCTGACTCACTCATTATAATGAGTTTCTCAAACTCAAAGAGAACCAAATAGCTGCTGTTGTTACTGATTGCACTGATTAAGAAGGCGGAAAGAGAAAGACAGAAGGTGAGAGAGGTGAAAAGAGAGATTATTTTTCCATCTGCGTACACAATGAGACTTTTAGCATTAAAATGTCTTTAATTGATCAGCCTGACAGACCTAGACCTGCTCTCCCCTTCCTCCTCCAGACAGTCAGGCCTGCTCCATCAGATCACAAAGGAAGCCAATCGCTCTGCTCTGTCCTTGTGCCTACTTAATTAAATTAATGGGTGCTTGAGAATTCTGTGGTTGTTTTAGAAGGGTAACAAGAAAGGCAAGAAATGACCTCACCATCTTTAAGCAGTCAGTCAAGCAGTCAGTGTATTTGTAAAGCTCACAGATACCTAAATTCATAGATAATTGTTAATAGACCTATTTGCCATGCTGAGGCAAACCTTATATGGAATGTAATCAGATGGTGCAAGCATTTAATGTGTGTGTTATTGAGCCATAATTATGTGTGTTTCAGCCCCCTGAGATGCTCAAACGGATGGTCACGTACAACACGTCCTTTAAATCCAGCAACAAACAAGTAACTGTCATCATTAATTTGTGTTAAACTCCTCCTCTCTTTCAACACTCTGGTCTTTGAGTGAAATCTCAGCTGTCTAAGTGTATACATCTGCATGTGAAGTGTCTACTACATTTCTAACAATATTTCCCTGGAGGATATTGGTAAAATGTATCCTTGAGGTAATTTAAAACTAGTTCCCTTTCGATAGAGTTCACTTGCATTGCGTCAGTTGTTGATGCTTTGGGGAAACTGGATTTCTCTAAAATACTGAAGCCTGTTCAATGAATCATGTTCATGCATCTGCATGAACAAATGGCTTTTCAGCCCGCCAAAACGGGTGAAGAAATTCGACTATATAAATTGGTGCTGAATGCCATTTCATCAGACTCTTTCTCCTTCAGAGAGAAGATCATCTCCTCGCTGACTCCAAAGAAGAAGAAGAATAAGAAGAAGCCTTCCTGCTTGTCGTGGAAGAGCCCCAGCAGTGGTTATGGTGCTGACATCAGTCTCAGCTGAGAACTGCGTTTCTCCCTGTGGCTATTCGGTGAAAGATGAGTTCATGTCAGCCCAGATCCCATGTGCCACACTCTCCCCACAGCAAGAGGATTCCCCGGTACACTTTTCCCATGAGGACCAGCACCTCTCATCATGTGTAAGGGCTTCCCTCGACTAAAGATTTTTTCTGAACGACTAATAGTCGTTTATTTTAAGCGATTAGTCGACTAATCACGCATTTATATTAATAAACCATATAATTCATAATGATGAGCCTTTAATAGTCTATAGCCTATCAGCGCTCAAGCGCACACATAAAACTTGCCACAGCACACTGCAAAAGTAATGATTATGAATGTGTTAGGGAAAAAACAGCATGAAGACTGCCTTAACATCATAATAATTAATTGATAAACTAGTGTTTTCAGCTGCAGTGATGAAGTCGACGACACTGACTCATCTCCACTGTGGACGTGCACGTTTCATACAGATTACATAATCTGAAAATATTTGTTTTCCATTTAAATTGGTTAATTTAAAAGTAGATTGTGCTTTCTATAGATATATTTTTCATGTCTGTGAGGCAAGCGCAGAGTTTCGGCCGTCAAGGACTATGTGACCTCGCCACTTTCTGTGGATTTTTCTGAACACTTTCTATGAAGCCCATATTTATAATACATTATAAGGGTATTCTTAAGGCATTATAATGAATGCATAATGCATTATAAAAGCCCTTATAATATGTTATATCATCTTATGAATATTCATAAGAACAGTTTTAATGTTTTATAATATTTACTTATTTGTCGTTACAGCTTTTAAGAGTATGATGATTTATAACACACAGTGAACAGGTTGCATCCACTTAAGTTACAATGGATTATATTTCTCATAGTTATAATGTATTATAAATTGAGTAACTTTGCAAGTACGTCAACATTCTACCAACCATATCCTTAGCCTAAGCCTACTTATACTCTAATGAGAGTTAGTTGACATGTAGTTGCAAAGTTGCTTATAGTCAATAGACTAGGGGGACCATCAAAATAAAATGTAACCTAACATATAAACATTGAAATTAACTAGCTCACATCAAAATTAATATTAACCTCACAGGGAACACTCAAATAACACTCCATACCTAACCACTTACAAGATGTAGTAAGATACTGTGAGTTAGTTGACATGTAGTTGCAAAGTTGCTTATAGTCAATAGACTAGGGGGACCATCAAAATAAAATGTAACCTAACATATAAACATTGAAATTAACTAGCTCACATCAAAATTAATATTAACCTCACAGGGAACACTCAAATAACACTCCATACCTAACCACTTACAAGATGTAGTAAGATACTGTGCAGATCTTAAATAAACAATGTCAAGATAGTCCATTATAAATGTAAAAATATATTTTATATGGTGTTCATTGTGTGTTATAAAAAATCATAATCTTAAAATGTATAACCACAAATGCGTAAGCATTATAATGTATTATAATTATTGTTATGATTATTTATAAGATGATATAACATATTATAAGGTATTTTATAATGCATTATGCATTCATTATAATGCCTTAAGAATACCCTTATAGTGTGTTATAAGTATGGGCTTCATAGAAAGTATTACCGATTTTTTTCCTGCAACTAAGCGACTAATAAAATTTTGATCAACTAAGCCTCTTCTCGTCAACTAATGGTTAGTCGACTATTAGGGGGCAGCCCTAATTATGTGCGAGAAGTTTAGTCTTTTTTGGGGGGTTCTGAGGATTTCGCCAATGAAACCAGTCAGACCAGACCAGTCTGCCCCGTTCTTTTCAGAAGTTCACATTAAACTTACCCCCTACTCAACCTCACCACTGTTAACGGAGCTGAACAGAAGAAGGATGAGCAGGAGGCCGCACTTAAAGGGCTGTCGGTTATGAAGCTATCCCGTTGGGTAGTTGATGTAATCCCCCCCCCCCCCCCCAAACCCATCTGCGTCCTCACCAAGGCTGTTGAAGAGCTTGGTTTAGAGTGGTCGGCCCCAGAAGATGCCGCCTGCAGCCGCCTCAATTAGTGGGTCCTGCAGCTGGGGCGTCACCAGCGAGGCCCCCAAAAGAGATCTGCCCCGTTCTTTTCAGAAGTTCACATTAAACTTACCCCCTACTCAACCTCACCACTGTTAACGGAGATGAACAGAAGAAGGATGAGCAGGAGGCCGCACTTAAAGGGCTGTCGGTTATGAAGCTATCCCGTTGGGTAGTTGATGTAATAGCGCTGGCCTGTGCCTCTTTGGGACTGCAATGCCTTATTGGAGTGGTCCTCACCATCCACCTTTGCCAGATTCTATAATTTATATATCCCTGCTCTTCAAGCACATATCTTATCTGCTTAGCCGTCTTTGACCCCTCCGAGGTCTATACAGCATGACTTTGACCTTGTCAGTCTAAAACCTGACTGTTCGGGCATCTTCTTCTCATTTTTAAGCAATCCTGCCCAAGTATGGGCTCTTGGCAGCTTATCCAAGATGGCTCCTTTATTCTGCCCTTATAGCATGGTGCTATTGGATTGCTTTCCCCAAAGCATCAGCAACTGCCACAATGCAAGTGAACCATTTCGAAAAGGAACCAAGTAGAAACCGAGTAGTGTATATTTTATTCTGATCTTAGGTAAATGTCATTTATGTGTTAAACATTTATGTGATAAATATCATTTTAAATACTCAAGGACATCAGATGTATGATTGCAATATTGTGCTTATTTCGGTTAAGACATGAATTGGTCTCACAGTGTGGATTAACTCAAATATATCTTAATTCAGCATCACACCTATATATTCCCATGCAATCTTGTTTGCTTTGAAAGCAGCCTTTGAGTGGATCCCATGTGCACTGCACAAATGGTAGACTCAAACTGAAGGTTATATAATAGTAGAGTGCATATGCACCAAATGGCATCTCAGTGTGCATTTTCACTTTTTATGAGGTGGAGCAAGACCAGAAGTCTGTTTTTCCAGTTTGTTGGTTCTGTGGGTGTGAAACCTTGATTGATTATTTGTCTTGATGGAAGGTGGTTTTGAGTGTGTAGTGGATGGCAAAGAGCCTTTACATTGTACATAAACATCAGTGCAGATCCAGAATCAACCGGAAAGCTACCAAAGGATCCAACAAAGCAAACACTTCCTTTCTCAGTATTTATATGTGTACCATGTAGTACAGTACTGTAGTAAATGATGCACTGTGTTGTACTGTTTCTTATATTATGTTACATTTATTTTCTGTTTATTGATTTTTCATATTGTTTAATTTTATATTTAAAATGAAAGTTGGTCAAATCTGACCTGGTTGTTCAATAACTACTTCAAATATGAACACATTAAGTGAAGTAGTGTTCATTTGGATTTTCTTGGAAATCAATGAGCACTAATTTGTTTCTGCTTAAACTGAGTCCTCAGATTGCCATCTCAGAGTTTTGCAGACTATTTGCAGATGGAGTGTACGCCATTTTCTATTTTTCCTCTCTGTTTTTCAGGGATTTCAGAAATATGTGGATGGTTTTGATCCATATTCCATGGTAATGTAACCCTTTACATTAACAGTTACTCTCTGTACCCATTGCCATTTTTATATTTTATATCCTCTGTGGAATATTTATTTCACCACATTTGCTCAAACTGTGTGTTTTAACAGTTCACGGCTGAACAAATAGCTGGCAGAGATGTGCGACTTTTGAGAGTTAAGAAGGTAATTAAACAGACATGAGCAACATCTGTCATTGGACAATAAGAATTAGAGATTTTTGTTTATTCTATACACATTCATTAGGAAGGAAAGCTTGATCTGGCCATAGAGGGAGGAATTGACTCCCCTTTGGGAAAGATTGTGGTGTCGTCTATCTATGAGGGAGGTGCAGCAGATAAACATGGTGAGTCAAACAAAAATAACGTATCAGAGATTTGGGAGTTCTTTTGATTTTAAGGTTCTAGCAAACACCCCAAACACCACAGTAGCTGCACATGAACACCATAAAAACTACTTAGAATCATGCAAAAATCTAGAGCAGCTCTCTATATTCATTAGTTATACTGATTATATTGACTTAAAACATTTAGTTCTGTTTTAAAATTGCCTGGTTAGTTTGTTCAATTTGTTACTGTTATTTTTCGTCCATGTTATCTCAGGTGGTGTTGTGTCGGGTGATGAGATCATGGCTGTGAATGGAAAGATCCTGACGGATGTGACTTTAGCTGAAGGACAAGCCTCATTAGCTCAGGCCTGGAACAGTGGAGGGGTATGACCGTCATTACAATAAAACAACCTGTCACTTTAAATCAGATAATCTGTCTATCCTCTGGAGTGAATGGGTGCCAACAGAATGAGAGTCCAAACAGCTGATAAAAACATCGAAATAATCCACAAGTAATCCACACCACTCTAGTCCATCAATTAACATTTTATGAAGCAAAAATATGTTTATAATTTTTTTTTTACTTTAAACCATTGCTTCCGACTAAAATACTAGTCCTTTATCCATAATATTGCTTTCTCCAGTGAAAAAGTAATCTTGTCTGAAACAGGAGAGAAAAATGCACAGGTCAGTGAAAACAGTGAAAAGTGAAAACAGTCCAAACAGCTTTTTATCTCTGATCATTTAAAAGTTAAAATGCCTTAATGATATTTTGTTTCTTACGAACACGCTTCACAAGACATTAATTGATGGACTGGAGTCATGTGGATTATTGCGTTGTTTGAACTCTCATTATGACGGCGCCCATTCACTGCAGAGGATCCATTGGTGAGCAAGTGATGTAATGCTGAATTTCTCCAAATCTATTCTCATGAAGAAATAAACTCATCTACATCTTGGATGGCCTTTCAGCAAATCCACTACTAATAAGAGTCTTGCTTTCATCTTGTATCTAACCATATTAATGCAGTATTCACATCATGTTGGAATTGTAATCTGTAATATGTCATTTTATCATAGCCCATGTGCTCTTTCCTTGTTCAAGATTTTACAGAAGAATCCACACACCTGTGTGACAGTTTGTGACTAATTTACACTTTGGCGAACTGTATGAATTTTTGCATTTTCATACAATCTGTTTATGCCACAGTGAGTATTTGGTTTAGGGGTTGACCTTCATGTTTAGTTTTTTTTTTTTTGGTATGAATTTACCACAAATTCACTGAAATGTAAAATAGTTACATTTTCTCATAAGACTGGGATGGAAGAATACTGAAAAGTAGTTTGCAGTTACAAAGCTGCACAAGGATCGTATTATTGTTATTAGTGCTGTCTTAAAAATTAGTAATTTCAAAATACAATTACATGAATAGCACAATGTAGAATCCCTAAGGTCGTAATTGCACAATTACAGTAATTACTGTAATTTCAACATGACATAAATGCTGCATTAAAACAATTCTGCAGAATTATGTAAATTTCCCTAAACATTTGTTACATAAATAGTGTGGCTGTAGTTATGCATTAATTTTCGATATTAGAAAGTTAAAACAGCCTAATCTATTGCAAATGAGTGTTGAATATTTGAATTTCTGTGGTTAATGTCTGGTATTTGTGTTCATATATTTTCTTATTTTTCCTGGAAGATGTAAATAACAAGAAAGCACACATGGTCTGCTGCTGTAATGATTTCTTCAACAAGCATCATCAATATAGATGAAGGCTTGAAGCTGAAATAATACAGAATGTAGCAAGAACATTGTGCCGTTGTGCCTATCAAATGTAAAAACATTTGTTTGCAAGTGCTTGATATTATTCCATGCATGGGTTCGCAGGATTGGATTGACCTGGTCATCGCGGTCTCTCCACCAAAGGAATATGAAGACGAAGTGTATGTATATTTGCATTTTTCTTCATAATATATGATATGTGACCACACACAATGGCAGCTTCAGTGTCCTCCAAATTCAGTTTGCTTCAATGCATTATGTGGTCTGTCTCCATTATTCCCAATGAAAAAATCAATCATTAGTGTACATGGCTCTCAGTGGTGAACCTGTCATTGCTGTTTGTCTTCAGCCCTAACGCAGCATCAGTCAGACCCACTGCAAAGAAAAAGGTTTTCCAAGGCAGTGCCCCTGTGTACAGACAGGGCTACGTCCTTCAGATGAGGACCCCACATCCTCCAACATGATCGCCACTAACCCAGTGGTAAAAGCCTCCCACAAAAAAAAAAAAACACATCCATACCATTCTTCAGTTTATCATGTACATGTGACAATCTCTTTGTCAATCTGGAAACCCACCCAAATGTTTTCAATTGGGGATTTTTTGTGCTAATGATTCAATAATGCAATATACAATACTCTTGTTCACAAGGTTACGCAGTCGTTCTGATTGATGTTGTTCAAAGGGACTGTTACATGTCATGACTCGTGCATTGATTATTGCTGCTTTGAACTACTCCATGTTTCTATAAATGTCTATAGCACTACTGTGCTGTATAGATACTGTCATTGGTTCCCCAGAACCAAACTTTGAAACTAAAACAATTGCAAACGTATTGACAGGTGAATACAGGTGCTCATGGAAACAATAGTTGTGTTTGAAAGCACTTATTGCTGTGCCACCAGTAATACTGTGGTTGTTGCAGCAAATAGTAAAAATTAAAATTCTGTCATCATTTACTCACTCTCATGTTGCTCAAAACCCAAAAGACTTTTGTTCATCTTTGAAACACAAATGAGGATTTTTTTTTAAATAACGTCTGAGAGATTTCTGTCCCCCCACTGAAAGTCCATTCCACCAAAACTTTACGGCTTCAAAAGTACATAAGTACATTAAAAAATAATCCATATGAATCAAGCTGTTTAATCCAAGTCTTCTGAAGAGAACGATTCATTTAAAATGTATTTGTGTGAGTTTTGAAGATGAATGAAAGTCTTGGTTTGGACTGACATTAGGGTGAGTAAATTAGGGTGACAGAATTTAAACTTTTGGGTGAACTATCCCTTCAAGCATTTTTTACATTCTGTGAACCAATGACATTCTTCTGTCACGTTTATATATTTCTGGCTGGTTTCATACAAAGCAACCTGCTAATTTAAGTCTGTTTCCTTACTATGTGTGCAACCTTGTTTGCTTCACCCCTCGTGTGGATGTGCGAAACCAGCCCTCTCTTAAATATCTGTCAGACTAATCTGATTTTTATATTTGTCACTCTTTTTACAGGACATTCTTTTAAAACCCAACATTGCATCAGTGCAACAGACCACAGGGAGAAGCAATAGCCATTCCTTAGAAGTGATTTTGCAAAAAGCTAAAAATTTAGTATTTGTGTTATAAATGAAATCATCTCGGGTTACATATGTAACCCTGGTTCCTCGAGGGAACGAGACGCTGTGTCGAGAACGTTAGGGGAACGCCTTCAGTGACCCATTCTCTGAATCACATGTGAAATCAGTCCAATAGCTGAGCGGGACGTCACGGCGGATTACGTCGTGACCGGGAAGCTATAAAAGCACGTGCGGCGGAGCCAGAGTCAGCTTCTAGGGGATCTGTGTGATTAGCAGATCCATACACGAAACCCACGAGCACAGCCGCCGGGGCCGGCACCGCGAGGAACGCTAGTGAAGGCTCCCTCCTCAAAGAGAGCCATCTGAGAGTGAAGCAAGGCAGTAACAACTATGCTTCGCTCGCAAGCAAACCACGCACAGGCTGTGTGTGTCCCCACTCGTGATATGACATTATCTATGGGCAGGGAGGAACACACAACCTACAACGAGGCTTGCTCTCGCCCTTGAAATGCTTTGTCCTTGCATGAGCTTAGACATAGCTGGAGCTTATAGACTTTTGACAGATAACAATAAATATGACTGACACACACAGAGTGCTTCGCTGAATGACAGAAAGCTGACGCTGGCTCCGCCGCACGTGCTTTTATAGCTTCCCGGTCATGACGTCATCCGCCGTGACGTCCCGCTCAGCTATTGGACTGATTTCACATGTGATTCAGAGCGTGGATCACTGAAGGCGTTCCCCTAGCGTTCCCTAGCGTTCTCGACGCAGCTCGAGTTCCTGAAGAGGAAACAGGTATTCACATCATTTATAAATCAGGCATCTGTGTTTTAGAAATACATAATACTCTCTTTAGGCTATATTGTTATCATTTGCAAAACAATAAACATGCATTAATAAAAAATTTGTTATTGCTTTATGTTTGTAAGCCTTCTAATATGGTTTATCATTTAAGTTCTTCATTTCAAGCCATAAAAAGGAGATATCCTCAGCTGCTGTCCTGATTGGCTCATTTTCACTTGCAGTATCTCCAACATCTGCCAAATGATTAGTGGGCACTTAGTAACTGTCTTGTAGGATTGCTATCAATCAAGGACAGTAATAAGAAGCTTTCAATTCAGTCTCAACCACTTGTTACAAAAATATGCATTCAAGTGCAGGATCAAACTGAACCAATCTATAGTTTCTCAGTTCTGGTCATTCACGCTGACAGCACTGTGCAGTGACAAACAACCTGCACTCATTAATTTTCAGTGAGTGATTTCTGGCAACACAACCACTTGAGATGCTATATAGTCGTGTCCCAATAATCGCACAAAATGTGCATTCACGTTGTACCATTTGAACCATTCCAATCAAGTTTCACTGCTAATCATAACCTGCGTTGCTGAAAGTGTCCAGTGATATTTTACTTGCGGTTGATTCTGGTAAAAATGCTGCATTGGTGTTAAAAAAAAACCTTACTGGTACCTTTGATAGCCTACTGTTGATCATAATATTCTTCTGTGGTGTTTAGAACATTTGATCGGTATCAAGAGTTACAAATCCTTACAATGGTTTAGTTCATATTTAGTATCATATTTTTTTAGTTCATAAGGTCCTTTTCTGTAGCATTAGCTAAGTTCCTCTCATACTCACTGCCTATTATAAATGGAGTACCTCAGGGCTCTATTTTGGGTCTGCTTCTTTTTAACTTATATATGTTACCACTTAGAAATATTATTAGGAGGCACAATGTTTCTTTCCATTTTTATGATGATAATACTCAGCTTTATTTGCTGTTAAAAGCTAGCAACTCCATTCAACCTTTGCTGGACTGTCTCAAGGACTTTAAGAAATGGTTGTCAAATAACTTTCTTCAACTTGATGAAGACAGAACTGAAATTATTATCTTCAGTCCCCCAAAATTGAGAGATGATCTTATTAGGGAGTTTCATAATAATTTTCCTGTAATTTCTTCACAGGTAAGAAACCTGGTGTAATCCCAGATTTAAAAATAGTTTTTATAAATTACAAATTATTTCCAAGCTTAAAACATTTTTGTATTGTCAAGATTTGGAGAAGGTTATTCATGCTTTTATTACATCATGTTTTAGACGATTCAAAGTATCTGGCCCAAAAAGTACTTGAGAAAAAAAAAAAGTACAGCTTACTTTTTAGTTATGTATTAAAAAAGTAAAAGTAACCTAGTGTAGTGCTTCTACTAAATCCCGCTTAAAATATCAGACTTGCATCTGAAATCTATACAGTAGGCCAGAGGTTTTCAAACACTGGGTCGGACTTGATGCCAGGATGATTTAGGGAAAATATTCTAAAATGAATTAATGCAATTTTAATAATAATAAAATAACAACAATAATAATTTTGAATAGAAGCACATTAAAACATTTGAAATAAATACTAGACCTCTGTCACCTGACCCACATAAATGCAATAAGTCCGCTCTTATGCTTTTTAACAAAGCATGGAGTGTCACTGATGCACCCATTTTCTTTTCCCAACTGCGATGATGCAAAGGCTTCAGTCGTATTAGTAGCCCGTCTTTCATTTATTTTATGCTAAACATGAGCAGGCCAAAGTCAAAAAGCACAATTTATCAAGCACTACACTGCTAGTTTATGTTCGGTACATTTGGCAAGGTGAATTTTTGGAAGATCTTATGTGCTGCCTAACATTGCCTTCCAGCACATCAGGAGCACATATTTTTTGAAGAATTAAATGCTTTAATGACTAAATGTGGTCTTGAATATGCCAATTGCAAAGGCATCACCAGCTATGGGGCAGCCAACATCACTGGCAAAAATATCAGATAAATATCAGATAAATAGTTATCAGAAGGATTAAGGATGCAGCAGGACAAAACCTTGTTTGGAATCATTGTTTTATTCATGGTGAAGCTTTGACATCATAAGGAATCCCACCCGAGCTTGAAATGGTGATGAGAGACATTGTTAAAGTTGTGAACTACATTAAAGGTAGTGCTCTTAACAGCCAACTTTTCGAGGCCCTGTGTACTGAAATAGGAGCTGAGCACACACATGTAATCTTTCATACAGAGGTGAGATGGCTGTCGAAGGGCAGGGTGGTTCGCCGAGTGTACGAACTGATGGATGAAATACATACTTTCCTAACTGAGAAACCGTCACCTCTCGCAAGCTCATTCAGTGATGAGAAATGGCTTTTAACCCTGTCTTAGCTTGCTGACATATTTTCTGTTCTAAACTAACTAAATCTGAAGCTACAAGGAAGGGAGGACAATATTTTCAGACATTCTGAACAAATTCAGGCTTTCCAGAAATCACTCGAACTCTGGCAGCTGAGACTCAAAACCTCAAGCTACTAAATGTTCCCGACAAAGATGAAACACAATGAAGAAAATGATGTGTCCAAGAAAATGGTTGTTGACTTGACTCGCCTCATGCAGTCACATCTGGATGCACTAATAGGGAATTTCTCTTGCTACTTTCCTGAGGAGAAGTTAAATGAATTAAAAGACAAGCGGTAGGACAATCTCGAATTAGTTTTTTTTTTTTTACGGGTAATTCAGTCCATAACTGAAAAAACAATGAGGGCATAGTCTGGGAGATCAGGGTGATGTGAAATGTCTAGAAAGTCCTGGATGTGGTCCTCGAGGGAACGCATTCCCTGACGGAGGCGAACTAACCTGATTGCTGAGTCCATAATTGGCCTGGATCACTGAATAAAGCCGTTAGGTACGGCTGTGTTGAAGTCTTCTGTTACGGACAAGCATTACAATGGAGTTGAGGATCCAAATACAGGCTTTATTAAAATAGAGCATAGTCAAAACAGGCAGGGTCAAACACCAGCAAATATAACAACCTGTACGTCAATGTGACCATTAACTGACATCAAACTGTCTGTAAACATGCAGATGTGTTGTTAAATTATTAAAATATTAACTTACTCAGACAAATTTCAAGTACATTTGTCTAAGGGCCTTGGCTGACAAAAACGTTTGGGAATCGCTGCATTACATGAACAAACATTAATATACAAACATTAATTTTACACACACAAAGTCTTCCAGGTTTGAAACATTTTAGTTCAGACTTCCAGAATCAACAGTCTAATTGCTCTGCCTTGTCCTTAATTAAATAAATGGGTGCTTGCCAATTCTGTGGTTGTTTTAGAAGTGTAACAAGAAGGGCAAGAGAGGACAAGACCTTGCTGCCTTGAGGTGTCTTTTCAGTCTTTATTTAGTATTGGTAAAGGTGTTTAGTAAGGGTCAGGGAGAGATTTGATCAAACCACTGCCACCTTTTAATGAGGTTTGTGGATATATTTGAGAAACTGTACTTTTGTTTATGCTTTCATTTGTTCCTATTTCCAGCCAGTGATTTGCCTAGGTTTGTCTCTGGCTGTACACAGAGCTTTAGAAATACTGCAGTCCAAAAACTGAGCTTGATAGTGTCACGAATCCGGTCCATGAACTTTCCTTTTCATTGACTCTCGCACCACACAAACTGTTGCATAGCACCCCGGACTACATTTCCCATCATGCTTTACACTGATTGCACCCAGCTGTTTCATATCACTCCCTCACTATTTAACACTCACTCTGATCCCTTCCCTCTGCCGAGTATTGTTTCAGCGTTTATCCCTCTCCTAGAGATAGCTACCTCACGGAGCCCTTGTCATTGCCTTAGCCCTAGTCATTTGCCTTAGCCCTAGTCATTAGCCTTAGCCTTAGCCTTAGCCCTAATCTTAGCCTTAGCCTTATCCCTAGCCCTAGCCCTAGCCCTAGCCTAGCTGTTTTCCTGGTTTCTGATCTTCGCCTGGTTTCCTGGATTTCTCCCTTAGTCTTGCCCCTTCTGACTCTGTCTGCCCATCGTCGACCCACGCTAGCCCTAGTACTGTTCTGGTGTCTTCCCCACCATATCCCTGTCTGCCTCTGTTTGACCCTGCCTGCTTCATGACCACGTCTCTGTCTTCTCCACAATAAAGCCTTGCAGATGGATCCGCACGTCTCACGTCTCGTCAGCCCCGTAACAGATAGAGTGTCAGATTTTTTTTTTTGATTTCCCTAATTTTCCCTGAAATTGGCATTTTAAGATGTTTGGATGGCAAAAATTGGATAGT